ACGGTTACTGATATATCATGGCGAGCGAAATAATCACCCCCGCGAACCGTGCAGATTCCTTAGGCAACACAACTTGATCTCCTTATTATGCCACAGAAATCGCTTCTAACCGACACCGAGAAAGCCGTCGTAGTTAAGAGGCTTGCTGAAGGGGCTAAGAGCGTCGAAGTTGCGAAGGAGCTTGGAAGGGACCACCGTACTATCAAGAAGTACCTGGAGGACCCTTCTAAGGTGTACCAGAGGAGAGGTGGGCCGTACGAGAAGTCTGTTACGCCACGGGAGAAGAGAAAACTCAAGAGAGAGATGGCTAGAACTCCATTAGCCACCAGTAAGGAGTTGTTTGACGCGGCGGGGGTGAGTAAAGGGAGCAAAAGCACCAGGTGCAAGGTGCTGAAGAGCATAGGGAAGGTCTTGAAAGCCAACCCCAGGCCTTCATTGACGAAAACCCATAAGGAGAAAAGAGTGCGATGGGCGAAGGATAACATGAAGACGGATTTCTCGAAGGTGCTGTGGACGGACGAGTCACGAGCGACGCTAGACGGCCCCGATGGGTGGGCCCGAGGGTGGATTATGGATGGTACCGCTTGTCCGAGCCGATCCAAGCGTCAACAGGGAGGAGGTGGCGTCATGATTTGGGCCGGAATCATCGAAGGGAAGGTCGTCGGTCCCGTGAGAGTCCAACAAGGAGTGAAGATGAACTCGCAAGAGTGAGATAGAGCCTACGGCTGGGATGATGCAGTAGTGAGCCACGCAGGTACACTAAACTTCTCGACCAGTGCTTCTTCCCATGGTATCGGAAGCTCGGGAGGGTGGCCAAGCGTGACCTGATATTCATGCAAGACAATGCCCCCTCCCATGCCAGCAAGTTTACCAAGGACTACCTCGAGAAGAAAGGATTTACCGGCAGAAAGCTCATGAATTGGCCTCCCAATTCGCCGGATATAAATCCGATTGAACGGTATTGGAGCATCTTGAAGAGTGAGAGCTCGTTTGAGTTTGTTCACGTGTAGTAG